AACCTCTGGCCTCCAGATCAGTCATATCATCCGGCTTTTTCCCAGGTAGCAAGTCTGATATTTTTTCAGCCCAATTTGGATTGCAGGTGAAGGCTATGAACAGATCTGGAGTGACATAGTTTCTGACATATGTCATGGCATCTTGTGGCCTCTCTTGCATGCATCTGGGACCACCAGTAAAGGAGGATGGGAGGATCGTCAGCTGTCCAATGTCATCTGGATTTCTATAGTTGGCAATGGAATCTCTCAATTGTTCATAATTCTCCACCCTGGAAGAGAGGTTCACATCGAAGCAAGTGGTTTGACTCTAATTCTCTTACCATACCTGTCAACCCATACGGTTTACCCCGTATTCTTTCACAGGAAAATAGAGTTTTCAGCTCCATACGGCGTACAGTCATTTCAATACGGGCAATAAAATGTATTTGTCTGTTTGTGTTTCTCTCTTGTGATGGGACTTTGTAGGATGAACGTTGAGATATATAAGGGCACGGGGTGACCAATAAGATCTGAACTGGTCTGTAATATGGTCGGTATTGATAAATGGTTGACAGGTATGTCTTACCATCGTCGAAAGGCATACAATTGTACGGCAGTAACCTTGGGGCCTTGAATTTCCTAGAAGTGGTACCCATCCTCCCCCAAGGGAAACAGAATAGGATACTTACAGATGATGATAGGCTCTGTTACTCTCTGCAATTCTTTGGAAAGAATATGCACCTGCAGGAGTTGCTTATGCAAGACAATATCGCTGTTCTGGAATTCATTGGCAACTATGAGAATGGCAACCTCATTTGTAGTCGGAACATTAAAGCGGCGCTCGCGCTCACCAGCAGGTGTCCCGACTGCTCCAATGACAACTTTGTACTCCATATTCTTAGTTTTTTCGGTAAAGTCACGTTGAAGAGAAACAACAAAATAACAAAATATATATAAACAAAATATATATAAACAATATATATTTTGTTATTTTGTTGTTTCTCTTCAACGTGACTTTACCGAAAAAACTAAGAATATGAATTACTGCAGTCACGAAAGCTTTAAATCAAAACTTTGTACTCATCTGTGGTCATGTTTTGAATGGCTGTTTTGTAAACGCTTGACATAGGGACTCTTTTCATGCCACATGTCCTGCGGAGCCATGACCACATCAAAAATTAGGTGCGGAATATTGCTCTGTCGCTACCGTGCCTGTTCCTGTGCGTCTCCCATGAAGTACATTTCAAGGAACTTGTGCTGCTCATTGGGATAAAGCAGCAGGGAGCCAATGTTGTGGTAGACCTTGAACCTTGCATTTGCCGTACATATGTGTTTCGGTGTAAATGTGGTCTGCCCCATTTGGAAAGCAGAGTTGTATTTGCCGAGGTTTCTAAGAATCTGTTGAGAATTGTGGCGAGTGCCCAACACCAATGACTTGAGTTGGTTTACCATGCTGGCTCTGCAGTACGTGCCTTTTGTCTCCCCCCTTACACTTTCTGACCCCACGTGTGGTGCAGAGTATCATCATTCCACCAATACTGACCAAGGCACTTGCCTCATACGGAGTGTCTGGATCATTGAGGAATGCTGCCCCTTTCAACTGCTGGCAATTTCTGGTTCTAGAGCAGGGGTCGGGAACCTTTTTGACTAAGAGAGCCATGAAAGCAAAAAATTTGGAAATTTATTTCAGTGAGAGCCATATAATATATTTTAAAAGTGAATTCAACTAAATGTCAGTATAATAAGCCTCTGAATTTATTCTTTTAAATAATGTTGTTATAACACTCACCATTAATGCGACTTCTGGTGCTGCATGGATTTGCTGATGTCTTTGTAGTCGGGTTGGTACTTGGTGAGGTTAAGCTTCATGCAAGCGTTGAGGCTTTCATCCGTTAAACGTGATCGTAGGTTGGACTTGATGTTTTTAAGATGTGAGAATGACTGCTCACATGCATACGTAGATCCAAACATGGTCAATACAGCAATACTCACACGCTGCAGTGTGTGGTATGTGACAGGAAGCGCGTTCCAAGTTTTGAGAATCAGCTGGTCTTCGGGTTGGAGTTTTTTCATTTCTGTCCACATGTGCTTGCTCGCCAACTCCGCTTTCTGTCGTGTGATTCTTTCCAAATCTTCATTCAGTGACTTGAACTTATTCACCCACATGTCTGAGGCCTTCAGGTCAGCCACTTCTGCTTCAAAATCTCTGACGGAGACACCAGGGATGTAATTCAGGTCGGCTGTGTTCAGTGAACACTCGTTTGGATGGGTGATGAACTTAAAAAGACGAGTGTGCTCACGAAATTCTCCAAAGCGTGCTTTGAAGGACTGTAGGAGACTGGATGTGCAGCCAGCTAGCTGGTGGAGATCAAGGTTTTGAATGGGCTCACTTGCTGTGCATGCATCTTTAAATTGGCTCAGTTTTTCAAAATGTAGTAAACGACCTGTTTCAAGATTCGTGATGAAAAGCTCCAGCTTGTTTTCAAAAGCAAATACAGCTTGTTGAAGGGATAACACTGTATTTCCAATGCCTTGCATTTTCACGTTGAGCTGGTTCAGATGTTCAGTCAGATCTACGAGATAGTAAAACTTGAGGAGCCACTCGGTGTCGGCTAGCTCAGGATGCCCGACGCCTTTCGATTCAAGGAAAGTCCGGATTTCGTTCAGGCAAGCCGCAAAACGGCTAAGCACCTTCCCTCTTGACAACCAACGCACATTGCTGTGCAAAAGCAGACCAGGATAGTTATTTACAACTTCATCCAGCAGTGTTTTAAACTGGCGATCATTTAAGGCTCGGGCAACAATAAAGTTGATCACACGAATGACCAGCGACATCACTTCGCCAAACTGCCTGTCACACATCTGAGCACAAAGTGCCTCCTGGTGTATAATGCAATGGAAACTTAGGATGGGTCTATTTTCATGTTCACGGAGAAGCGCCACAAATCCTTTGTTTTTCCCCACCATACACGGAGCACCATCAGTACACACTGAGAGAAGTTTATCCATAGGTAGACTTTTTTCTTGAGCAAACTCCATGAAAGACTTGAATAAATCCTCACCTCTTGTGGACCCTTTTAATGGCAGAACAGCAAGACTTTCTTCACGCAGTGTGTCACCAACAGCATATCTTGCAATCACGCTGAACTGCGACAAATGGCTCACGTCTGTTGACTCATCCAAAGCCAGAGAAAAGAACGGCGCTGCATGTATGTCCTTCACTTGCGTTTCCTCCACTTTGTTTGCCATCACGATGGTACGATCATGAACAGTTCTTGCCGACAGAGGCATGTCTTGTATCCGTTTGATTATCTTGTCTTTGTTCGGAAGATCATCAAAAAGTTCATTGGCTACATCCAGCATGAACGTTTTAGCATACTCGCCATCTGTGAATGGTTTTCCGTTCCTCACTATTGCTAAAGAACCAGCAAAGCTAGCCGAATTATAGTCACCTTGCCGGGTCCATACGCGGAGTTGCTGCTGGCTAGCTTGCACCCTGCTCAGAAGCTCTTGGCACGCTTTCTTTCTGCTGTCTCCCGCAGGGTATTTTGATGCAAAGGTAGCGTGGCGCGTGTCGAAGTGCCGCTTTACATTCGACCGTTTCAACGATGTAATTTTGTCATTGCAAATTAGACACACCGCAGAACCCGCTCTCTCCACAAAGGCGAATTCTTCGGTCCATTCGTCCTGAAATGTACGATACTCGTCGTCTTTTTTTCTTTTCGCCATCTTCTTCGTCGAAGGGTTAGCTTTGAGCTAATGACCGAGCAGACGCAGTCTCAGACTGATTCAAAAGGGGGCGTTTACCTGTTTTACCCAGCAACGGCAAACGTAGGCCAGTATCATCCAATTAAAATAATGGACAATTGCTCCTGCAGCCCTGAACAGGACATGCGCAGTGAAAAATCGATGGATGGATTAAAACAAGTGAGAATATTTTGTTTTATCTGCGAGCCATATGCAATCATCAAAAGAGCCACATCTGGCTCGCGAGCCATAGGTTCCCGACCCCTGCTTTAGCTCATGAAGTGTTTTTGATATCTGGACTCCTTGTGAGTTATTTGGTGGGCGGGACAGACGGCAACACCCCGATTCACCCCCTGGACCCAGAACAAACCCCGACCACTTCCCACCTTAAAACCTGCAGCCGGTCATCCTTGACCACCCTGCGAAGGTTGCGACTGAAAACTTCCAAACCCACAGAGGGTGTGGTGGGGAGGGGGCAGACTCCACGGTTTTAGCCAAGTGACACTGAGAGGTCGCTGACCAAAACCAAACGTTCCAAACGGGGTTCTGGGACCCCTTGCAACCCCCCAATCCGTTGTCCATACATTTGTAGGTGTTCACGAACACCCATTTAGAAACCGGGTACCCCTGGGGGGATGCCCGGGGGGGGGGCGTCCTAACCTAGCCTAAGATCTGAAGGCAAAAAATCCTGGATCACCCTGCAACGGTTTTCAGGTCTCTATCTTCAAAACTGTGTGAATGCATCCTGCCAAGCAAATATCAAGACGAATACCAATATCCGCCATTCGCCAATAAGTGCCGGTGACGTCAACACGGCGCCACGTGCCGAAGGCCACGTGGAGAATATATGAAGACAAAAGACAAAGATCCCCCGTGTAGCCTTAACAGACTGTTGGGGCAAGTGGTGTTCACGAGCACCTGTGAAGGCCGGCACAGCACACGAGGGGGTGGGTGGGCAGCTCCACGCCCGGCCGCCTTTGTTTCCCCAGAAGCGATGTTTACACACCAGACCAGGTAGTTATTTGAGGTTGAATCGACCTAAGGGGAGGCCCAGGACCGGTCCAGATAATCGTTACTGGTGTTGGCCGTGAGCGGGCCATCGAACTTGGGTACCTGGGTATGTAGCTCAGCGTAGCGCTAACCACTACACCACCGCTCCCCAAGTAAATATAGATGGACATTATTAATCCACGCACTGGTATCCCTCGATTTCGGTTTTAAAATAAAAACTTGTTTATGGTTCACAGACGGTTCCCACCCCCCACCTCTTTCAGAGCGGAGGCGATGGCGATGACGATGGCGACGAGGAAGACCGTGGACGCCGATGCAGCTGCCAGTTGTGCAACCGCGTGGGTGAGGTGCTGCTGGCACTCCACTACTGCCAGGTATGCTGACAAACGCCTCCTCACCGCTCGCTCACCTCGTCAGAGCTCGCTCACCTCGTCGCCCCTCACCTCGTCCGCCGCTCACATCATCGCACCTGGCATCTCTTACCTCTCCTCATACCAGTGCTGTGGGGGGGGGGGGAGCTCGGGGCGCAGTGGGGGTGTTTAGCCCCCCATTGAGACCTTGCCGTGTGTTTGGTGTTGCGAGTTAGGATGTATCCGAGGCAGAGAGGCATTGGAAGGTTTTCGTTATTTTGATAATCAGAGGTGTGCAGGTGGGAAGGACAACAATCTAAACACAACAACAACAAGCAATTCTAAAGAAGTGCATTTTCAATGTAGTATAGTCGTCAAGTGTATAGTAGTGTAGTGTATAGTAGTGTAGTGTCTTGTTGAGTGAAGTGTAGTGTATAGTGTAGTGTATAGTGTAGAATCTACACTATACACTACACTATACACTACACTATACACTACTATACACTACACTATACACTACTATACACTACACTACACACTACTATACAATACACTACAATACACAACACTATATACGACAATACTCTAGAGTATTGCCGTATATATGTAGTGTAGTATATAGTAGTGTATAGTGTAGTGTATAGTAGTGTGTAGTGTATAGTGGAGTATGAACTTTGCACTTATTTTTCACTGTACGTAGCCAACCACGCTAATCCGAGGTGCGGTGGGGAAGGATAACAAACTAAACACAACAACAAGCAGTTCTAAATAAATGTGTTTGTTAAATCATAGATTGTCTTGGAGGGGGTTGGGGTGCCTGCTTAAAAACCTCGACATTTCGGGCTCAGAATCTGCGTCTGCCTCGACCATTCCAGTGGCCCTGCTGCTGTGCGGCCAGGGGGGGGGGGGGGGAGACCCCCAGTGGCAGCTGTCCCTTCGTGGCGCACGCTCATCATGGGCACTCTGCCCCAATGCCCATTCAAACTGAAACCATGAACTATTTTTTTAATTAATATTTTACTACCAGCAGAGACCCCCACTACTAAGCTATGCAGCACTTTTCAGAAGTGACACTGCCCATCACAAATGACAGCTCGACCAAGTGGCTTTTCACGTGTAGATTTATAGCAGCGGCTAAATACTCTAAACGCGTGCTTCTACAGACCTTTTTTTCAGACGCGACCTGACTGTCACAAATGATATCTCAACCAAGTTGCTCATCATCATCATCACGTGGGAAGTTAGAGCAGCAGCCAAATAATATAAACACGAGACGTGGATTGTAAACGTGGAGGCAAGGGAGTCAACATCTCACCACCGTGGCACCGCGTTGACTTTGACCTTTGCTACACGGCCGATTCAGCAGCAGTGGATACATTATTTGTCTGCTGCTATGAATTTCCGCATGATGATGATGATGATGATAAGCCACTTCGTTGAGCTTTTATTTGTGAATGCCAGGTCGCTTCTGAAAAAGAGCTGCCCAGCTCAGTGGGGCTTTACTTGCTAAAATTAAATAAATAGTTTTAGTTTAAATCAAGATTCTGATTCTGGATGGAGGCATGCCACACGGCCTCTCCGTGTGTGCGCGTCACGCAGGAGCTCCAGACGCTGCACGTCCGTCTCATGGAGGTGCTGCTGGACGGAGCCCCTCGGGTGACCCCCATCTCTGGCGGTCACCTGGGGGGCGTCGCGTCCCGCTGGGCTGCCCGGAGCGCCGCAGGGCACTGCACGCTGGCGCTGATGCCCGGTCAGTGGTGGTCAATTGGCGGGCGCCCGCGGGTGGTTCCCGGGCAGCGTTGTATCTACGTGCGTGCGTGCGTGCGTGTGTGTGTAATTGGCTTCTCTCCTCATGGCGCTTGTAGCCACCACAGTGGCTGATGGGGGCTCTGGACGAGTGTGAGGGGCTGGTAACCCCTCCATGTTCAATTCAAGTACCACAAAAACACGTGTTAAAAATCTAACTAAGCTTGTGCCGGAGGCCCCGGGGGGGGCAGGCGTCCATGAAATCTCCTGGCCAAACTCCATTTGCCAGAGCCAGGAGACTAATCCCGTACCTTCGATGTTCCTCCAGAAACGGCAAAAAAAACACTGTGAGTGGCCACGTGGAATATCCGAACACTCACTACGAAGGAAAGGGTACCACTCCTCTGTTGGGAGCTGGACCAGTCCCGCCTGGATCTCTGTGGCATTCAGGAGGTCTGGTGGACTGGCTCTGGCTCCATTCATCATGAGGGGTGGACATTCCTCTACTTGGTGGTGGAGACTGCCAAACAACAGGGAGTGGCTCTTCTTCTTAGCAAAAGCATGAAGGGGGCATGGGAGCGTGTCAGTGAGGTGTGGGAAGCTGCAAGCCCCAGGCTACTGTGGGCTTGCCTCCCGATCAACAAGAGCCGAGAAATAGTGGTGGTTGCTTATGGCCCCCTCTGAAGATGAACATCAGTGGATAGATGCAGGCAAGGTCGAGGAGTCAGATGCCTTCTATGACCTCCTGTCACAGGTGCTGGCTAAAGTGGCTCCTCGGGATTCGCATCCCGTTGGGTGACTGTAATTCCCGAGTGGGTCATGACACTGGCACCTGGGCTGGAGTGATTGCAAGGCATGGACCAGATCAGCTCAATAACAACGGTAGGAGGCTGCTAGACTTTTGTGCAGCCCATGGGCTTGTAATTACCAAGGCGCTGTTCCTACATTGGTGCATCCACACAACATCATGGATGCATGCCGGGTCCAAGCAAGAACATCTGCTGGACTACGTAGTGACGGAACAGCGGATGCGGGCCCATGTGCTTGACACCAGGACCTACCGTGGAGCTTATCTGCCCACTTACCATCGAATAGTCATCTGTAAGATGCAGCTGCCATTCTTCCACTCTGGTGGTCTCAGCTAGCTGATGAAAGTTGCAAGTGAGAATGTCATCATCGCTTGCAGCTGGGGTTGGCATCGTCCCCCCCCCCCCCCCTCCTGATGTTGAGGTGAAATTGGCGAGGTTTAGGACTGTGGCTCATGCAGCTGCAATGGCTGCTTTGGCTACACGGTCTCGACCTCCCCAGAGACCCTGGCTGATGGAGGTGTTCTGGCTGGCTGAGAAAAAACAACGGACCCATGTCTACAGCATCCCATGTCGGTGAATGAGGAGGCTTACCACAGCCTCGCTCGGAGGTTCGGAGAGCCATGCAGCGCTGCAAGGATGAGTGGTGGTCGTGGGTTGCTGAGGAGATGGAATCTGCCTCAGTAGCCCATGATCACATAGCACTCTTCAATTCCATAAAAAAGTAACTTGCAGCACCACACTATCCTTAAGGGAAAGAATGGTAATCTGATCTTTCACTCCCAGGAACAGGTTTGCAGGTTTTCTGAGCATTTTTGTGAGATCTTGTGGGAAGGGAAATCCTTCAGTCGAGAAAACATCATAGGGCAAAGTGGGGATGACCCTGCTGAGGCTGCCGTGCCTCAAATATTGGAAGAAGTAGTCATACCCTGTGAGTGGCTGGCTGAAGTGTCATCTGTTGAGAAAGTATGGAAGGCATTGCAGAGTCTGAGACCAGGAAAAGCACCGGGCAGAGATGATATCCCAAGCGAAGTGCTGAGGGAGGGTGGTGTTTATGTACAGACTGCCCTATATGAAGCTTTCGTGACTGCAGGAATCCATACTCTCTGGTTCTTTCGGTAAAGTCACATAGATAGAAGAGATAATAAAAGAACACGACGTTTCGGTCGCAACACCAGTGTCCGTCACCTGATGACGGACGCTTGTGTACCGAAAGAACCAGAGAGTATCATAATAACAGTCTGGACCACTGGGTGGGTTTTTCAGGATTGGAAGGATGCCCTGGTCGTCTCCCTTTTTAATAAGAGGGACCGCACAAACTGTAACAACTACAGGGGCATCTCCCTTCTCAGTGTCCCGGGAAAGGTCCTGGCAAGGATTTATTCAACATCACCTTGCCAGCACGCTGAGGAGAGGCTTGTGGAGACCCAATGTGGTTTCAGGCAAGGACAGCCTGCAAAGATGCCATATTTTCTGCCCGTTTGCTAAAGCAGAGGTGTAGGGACCTACATATCTGCTTTATTCACCTGGTCAAGGCCTATGATACCATCAATAGGCCTGGGCTCTGGGTTGTTCTCTGCTCACAATCATGGCCCGGGTAAAGCTGCGTGGCCGGCAGTCGAAGCCACTCCCTCTTCACCTTGGGGTGCGACAGGGATGTCCTCTGGCTTCCACATTATTTAACATCTCTATCGACCACATAGTTCGAGAAGCCTCCCATGGCTGTACCGGAGGAATCTCCATCTGGTCCAGATACAATGGGAGGTTGATTAATGCCGGGGGGCGGTTGAGGGATGGCTCCCTATTAATCATGTTATGTATGCTGATGACCTGGTGTTTGCTGCTCACTCAGAGGAGGAGTTGGAGGTGCTGCTGCTAGACCTGGAGCGTGCCACTAATAGGTGGGGCCTTTCCATCAGCCCCACCAAAACGAAGCACCTGCCTGGGTATGTTGTGCCATCAAACACTCCACCCCCTCAACTCCCCCATTGGTGATGGGTCAGTTGTGGAGAGAGTGGAGAAGTTTCCGTACCTGGGCAGTGTGCTTATGACCAGCTTCAGTTTTACAGCAAAGGTTTCACTCCGAATCAGTCGAGTGGCGTTGTCTTTTCATCGGCTGCGTAATGTTGTGTGGAAGCTACCAGGTCTGTTGAACCAGGTGAAGCTTGGGGTCTTCTTGGCCACGGTCATGCCCTCCCTTCTCTATGCTTGCGAATCGTGGACCCCCCTAATGGAACATCTTCGCCAGTTATAAACAGATAGGCTTGCCTGCCTACGATCTATCCGGGGTTTAACCAGGCTGGATTGTGTGAGGAGCTCACAAATCCTTGAAAGATCTGGACAAAGTCCCATCGGTGAGCTCCTCCGGCAGGCAAGGCTGCGTTGGTTGGGTCATGTTGTCCGCATGCCCAGCCACCACATGCCCAAACAGCTTTTGTCCAGCGGGATAGAGGAGGCTGAACGGGTTCGGCATGAGCTAGATAAGAAATGGAGTGATGTGGTGCAAGAGAATGTGGAGCTGAATGGACTGGCCGATGACTGGAACCAGCGATCTAATGATCGGCCTCTGTGGAGGAGACTCGTGAAGGACGCTACTGGGTAGTTGGAGGCAGTTTCCCTCCAGCAAAAATGGAGGGCAGAGGAGCAAATACTCACAACATTGAGCAGAGCGCCGGGCGGCTAAAACGCGGCAAGTTGGCACAGTGTTTATGGTGAACTTCTTTCCCACCACTGTACATAGCCAACCACGCTAACCGCAGGTTAAGTACACGTGCTCAGCTACTTTTGTCCGCCGGCTGAGTGAGTGGTTTGGAGCGCAGCAAGGAGGAGGTCACGGTGGTGCGGTTTAAAATTGACGAATTGTGTTTTTTATATATATTTTTTTCCAGGGGTGGGTTAAGCTGCTGTGTTAATGGCCTGGGACTAAATTTGTGCCGTGAGGGCCCTCCACCACCCAGTTAAGTTGTGGGTAGGTGGTTGGGTCAGGGTCAGGATTATGGATTGAGGTCTGGATTTAGGATAGGATTTTGGTTACGCGTAGGGTCAGGGTTAGGGTCAGGGTTTGGGTCAGGGTTTGGGTCAGGGTTTGGGTCAGAGTCCAGGTCACGGTCCAGGTCACAGTCAAGGTCAGGGTTAGGGTCAGGGTTCAGAGTCGTCCGTGTCTGCATGCCTGATGTCCTGGCTGGCCATGGCCTCCCTGCCGGGGGGCTGCAGGCGCCGGCTCTGAGGAGCGCAGCGTGGGGCGCTGGGGTCCTCCGGCAGGGGGGGGTCTCGTGTTCGAGGAGAGCTTCTCCTTTGCGCTGGCGCCACCGGAGCTCGCCCGGCGCTCGCTCCTCGTGCGCTTCTTCCGAGCCGACTCCTTCTCGCGCCACCAGCTCGCCGGCCAGGCCCACGTGCCACTGGTGCCGGACACCGGCGCTGCGGGGCGCCACCGGCGGCTCGGCATGGTCCCTCGCGTCGTGCGGCACGGCCTGCTGCGCGTGCCTAGCCAGGTGAGAGCAAGCGCCGGCTTCAACACGCCGGCTTCGGCCGCGTCAGCTTTGGCCGCACCAACTGCACTGCGCCGGCTGCACCGAGCGCAGGAGTGGCAGTGGCAGGAAAGTCCTGGGTTCGATTCCCGGCTCCGGCGCCTTTCTGTGAGCGCAGTGGAGTTTGTGTATTTTACCCCCCTGTCCTTCGGAGTGTGATTAAGTGAGTGGAGTTTGTGTTCTACGACGTCCTGCATACCTGGCGAGGTAGTTAACATCTCCCAGCCACCGTGGGCTGCGGTCTCTGGGTGTGAGCGTCTCTCGTCTCTGGATGTGAGCGTCTCTGGGTGTGAGCGTCTCTGGATGTGAGCGTCTCTGGGTGTGAGCGTCTCTCGTCTCTGGGTGTGAGCGTCTCTGGGTGTGAGCGTCTCTCGTCTCTCGTCTCTGGGTGTGAACGTCTCTCGTCTCTGGGTGCGAGCATCTCTCGTCAGGGCTTCTTCTGCGGGGAGCTACTACTGTCCCTGGGCTATTGCGGGCGGACAGAGCGCCTTACGGTCATTGTCCTCAAGGCCCGGGGTCTCGCGGCTGCCCACGGCAACTTCACTGGTAGGTGGCGGTGGTGGCAGCGGTGACAGTGGTGGTGACGTGGTGGTGACGTAGGTGGTGACGTTGGTGGTGGCGGCGGTGACAGTGGTGGTGACGTGGTGGTGGTGGTGCTGGTGGGGGGAGGGGGATACCAGTAGAGGGGTGGCACCGGTAGGGGTGGTACCAGTCAGGGGTACTCGTAGGGTGGTACAAAGTAGGGGGCGGTGCCAGGAGGAGGTACCAGGAGGAGGTACCAGTAGGGGGCGGTGCCAAGAGAGGGTGGTGCCCGTAGGGAGGACCCGTTAGGGGGCGGTGCCAGTTAGGAGTGGAGGTCCAGTGGGGGGGGGGGAATGAGTCCAGTAGGAGTGGGTTCCAGTAGGAGTGGGTTCCAATAGGGTGCGGTGTCAGTAAGAGGTGGTACCAGTAGGGGTGGTACCAGTAGGGGGTGGTACCAGTAGTGGGGCGGTGTCAGTAAGGGGGCGGTGTTTCTCTGTGCTTCCACGGCATCTGTGAATCGGCTGATTTGCCGTGGAACTCTCAAAGCTCTGCACATGACGACCGTGATCGACGCCGGCACTCGGTCACCAAACTCATCTCCGAATAAACAGCGGAGAGCTACTGCTTGTGCTGTGGTGACAGGCTGTCCATCACCCGCTGGCAGGAGGTCACGGGATAGACCCAATTGCCGTGGGTTGACTGAGATGATTGGCCGATGCACAACCTGTTGTTGCTGGAGGACGACTGCCTCCAACTGCCCAGTAACATTCTTCAAAAGCCTCCTCCACAGAGGCCAAATCTGACACTACTGGTACCAGTCATTGGCAAGTCCAATCAGCTCGACATCCTCTTGTGCCACATCATTATATCTCTTCTCTAGCCCGTGCCAGGCTCGGTTAGCCCCCTCCATCCGGCTGCACAAAAGCTGTTTGGGCATGTCGTGGCTGGGCATACGGGCTACATGACCCAGCCAACGCAGCCTTGCCTGCCGGAGGAGCTCACAGATGGGACCTTGCCCAAATCTTTCAATGATTTGTGAGCTGCTCACACAATCCAGCAGGCCAGCCTGAATATTTCTTACCGGCGTAGGTGTTCTATTAGAGGGAGACACATTTCGCAAGCATAGACAAGGGAGGGCATGGCTGTGGCCGAGAAGACTCAAGCTTTGTATGTAGCAGCAGACCAGGTAAGTTCCACACGTTATGCAGTCGATGAAAAGACGCTGCTCGACTGATTCGGAGTGAGACCTCTGCTGTCAAACTGGAGCTGCCCAGGTACAGAAACTTCTCCACTCTCTCCACAATCGCTCCACCAATAGCGAGTTGAGGGGGTGGATTGTTTGATGATAAAAAATACCCAGGCAGGTGTTTAGTTTAAAGGGCCTGATGGTAAGCCTCACCTTTTAGTGGCACACTCCAGGTCAAAATGTAGTGCCTCCAACGCCTCCTCTGAGTGAGCAGTAATTAATCACCAGATCATCAGCATAGATCACATGGTTGTCCAATAGGGAGCCACGGGCATTGATCAGCCATGGAAAGCTTCCCGAACTACGTGGTCGAAAAATATGTTAAATAATGTATAAGCCCGAAGACATCCCTATCGCACCCCAAGGTCAACAGGGAATGGCTCTCACTCTTGGCCACGTAGCTTTACCTGCAAACCTGTTCCTGGGGGTTGGAGTATTGGATCACCTTTCTTTCCCCTAAGGATGGTAGTAGGTGTGGGGCTGCAATTTTCTTTTTGATTGAATTAAAGAGTGATTTGTGATCATAGGCTACTGAGGCAGATTCCATCGCATCAGCAATCCGCGACCACCCCTCATCCTTGCAGCGCCGCACAGCTCTTGGAACCTCTGAGAAAAAGCTGCGGTAAGCCTCCTCATTCACCGACGTGGAATGCTATAGACGGTGGGAGTGGGCCTGTCACTGTTTCTCAGCCAGCCGGAACACCTCCTCCGTCAGCCAGGTCTCTGGAGAGGTTTGGACTGCATACCCAAAGCAGCCATTGCAGCTGCATGAGGCACAGTCCTGGGGTTTACAGCTTTCCACATCTCCGCCACGCACCCACACCCCCTTCATTATGTTCAGAAAGAGTCACTCTCTCCAGTTTGGCCGCCTCCTACCCCGAATAGAGGAATGCCCACCCCTCATGCTGACTGGAGCCCAGAGCCAGTCCAGCGGACCTCCTGAATGCCGCAGAGATCCAGGCGGTACCGGTCCAGCTCCCGGAGTGGCAGTCTCTCCTCTGCAGCGAGTGTTCAGACATTCCACGTGGCCATTCACAGTGGTTTTTTGCCGTTTCTAGAGGAACTCCGAGGGTACGGGATTAGTATCCTGGCTCCACCAAATGGAGTTTGGCCAGGAGACTTAATGGACGCCTGTCCCCCCGGGGCCTCTGGCACAAGCTTAGTTAGATTTTTAACACGTGTTTTTGTGGTACATGAATGGAATGTGGAGGGATTACCATCCCCTCGCATCCGTCCAGAGCTCCCATTGGCTGCTGTCGTGGCTACGAGCACCATGAGGGGAAACGCCGATTGGAATCAGCCGTTCCCCCCATGGCATTGTTCGCATCCACCACAGCGTTAACGTCCAGCACCACCAAGGAGGCAGGGGGAGGTTTTTTGCCGGGCTGCCAAACACCACTATCACCACCTCCCCCACCACATCTACTACCACCACTAAAACCGCCACCACCACCCCCCGCACCACCGCCCACAGATGCCCACGTGAAGGTGACCGTGCTGGAGAGCGGCCGCCCGCAGCGTGCCCGGAAGACGAAGCGCGTGCCACTGTCGACCGCCGAGGCCGCCTCCGAGCCGGAGACCCCGGAAGAGGCGGCAGCGGCAGCGCCGGTCTTCAACGAGAGGCTGGCGCTGCCGCTGGCCACGGGGGCCCTGAGCCGGGCCCGGCTGCTGGTGCGCGTGCGACGCCGAGAGGAGCGACGCCACCGCCGCTCGCTGCTGCTGCTGCCCAGGTCGCCAGCCGTCGAGCTGGGAAGGCTGATGTTCGGCGCGGAGGCTCGTGGTGGGAGCAAGGGGGGAGCCGGGGGAGGAGCCGGGCAAGAGGAGGCGGATCACTGGCGCTGTGCCGTTCTGGGCGGCCGCGCGGAGGCGCGATGGCACCGGCTGCGTCTGCCCGATCCAACGAGCTGTGACCGCACGAGGTGGTGATGGTGAGAATGGTGGATGTGATATTGGAGGTGGTGATTGTGGAGATAGTGATGGTAATAATGGTGGAGGTGGTGGTAGTAGTGGTGGTAATGGTGGTGGTGGAGGTAATCGTGGATATTGTAGTGGAGTTGGAGGGTGGTAACATTCATACTCAACTCACTCACTCTGTAGAACAGGGCTAGAACACACAAACGCCACTCACTCACTCTGTAGAACAGGGGTAGAGCACACAAACTCCACTCACTAACTCTGTAGAACAGGGGAAGAACACACAAACTCCATTCACTCACTCTATAGACCAGGGGTAGAATACACAAACTCCATTCATTAACTCTGTAGAACACACAAACGCCACTTTGTAGACCAGGGGTAGAATACACAAACTCCACTCACTCGCTCTGTAGACCAGGGGTAGAATACACAAACTCCATTCATTAACTCTGTAGAACACACAAACGCCACTCTGTAGACCAGGGGTAGAATACACAAACTCTATTCAATAACTCTGTAGAACACACAAACTCCACTCTGCAGACCAGAGGCAGAACACACAAACTCCACTCACTCTGTAGAACAGGGGTAGACCCCCCCCCCCCAAAACCCCGTGTAGCCTCAATGAACTGTTGGGGCCAAGTGCTGTTAGTGAGCAGCACCTGTGAAAGCCAACGTGCCACACGAGGTGGTGAGTGGCCAGCACCACGCCCGACAGCACCTTTAGCTTCCCATTCGCTGATGCTTACACAGCGCGCCAGGTACTTAAGGTCGTTCTTGCTGTGATGCACCTCCGATTAGCACCGTTGGCGAAATACGGTACAAAAGAAGTTGAACATACAGTACATACGTACGGGCCTTAGAGTCAACACTCAACACTGCCCATAGACGCAACACTACCCATAGACTCAACACTACCCATAGATTCTAGATTTGAAGCTTTCGTGACTGCAAGGATTCATACTCTTTGGTTTTTTCGGTTAAAAACCCCAAAGAGTACTACCCATAGACTCAACACTGCCCGTAGACTCAACACTACCCATAGACTCAGCACTACCCATAGACTCAACACTGCCCCATAGACTCAACACAACCCATAGACTCAACACTACCCATAGACTCAGCACTACCCATAGACTCAACACTGCCCATAGACTCAACACTACCCATAGACTCAACACTGCCTATAGACTCAACACTGCCTATAGACTCAACACTACCCATAGACTCAACACTCCCCATAGACTCAACACTGCCCATAGACTCAACACTGCCCATAGACTCAACACTGCCCATAGACTCAACACTGCACATAGACTCAACACTACCCATAGACTCAACACTACCCATAGACTCAACACTGCCCGTAGACTCAACACTGCCCGTAGACTGAACACTGCCCGTTGACTGACCACTGCCCGTAGACTCAACACTGCCCATAGACTGAACACTGCCCGTAGACTGAACACTGCCCGTAGACTCAACACTGCCCATAGACTCAACACTGCCCATAGACTCAACACTGCACCATAGACTCAACACTGCACCATAGACTCAACACTACCCATAGACTCAACACTGCCCATAGACTCAACACTACCCATAGACTCAACACTGCCCATAGACTCAACACTGCCCGTAGACTCAACACTGCCCATAGACTCAACACTGCCCATAGAATCAACACTGCCCATAGACTCAACACTGCCCATAGACTCAACACTGCCCGTAGACTCACCACTACCCATAGACTCAACACTGCCCATAGACTCAACACTACCCATAGACTCAACACTCCCCATAGACTCAACACTGCCCATAGACTCAACACTGCCCATAGACTCAACACTGCCCGTAGACTCAACACTGCCCGTAGACTGAACACTGCCCGTAGACTGACCACTGCCCGTAGACTCAACACTGCCCATAGACTGAACACTGCCCGTAGACTGAACACTGCCCGTAGACTCAACACTGCCCATAGACTCAACACTGCCCATAGACTCAACACTGCACCATAGACTCAACACTGCACCATAGACTCAACACTACCCATAGACTCAACACTGCCCATAGACTCAACACTACCCATAGACTCAACACTGCCCATAGACTCAACACTGCCCGTAGACTCAACACTGCCCATAGACTCAACACTGCCCATAGACTCAACACTGCCCATAGACTCAACACTGCCCGTAGACTCACCACTACCCATAGACTCAACACTGCCCATAGACTCAACACTACCCATAGACTCAACACTGCCCATAGACTCAACACTGCCCATAGACTCAACACTGCCCATAGACTCAACACTGCCCATAGACTCAACACTGCACCATAGACTCAACACTGCCCATAGACTCAACACTGCGCATAGACTCAACACTGCCCATAGACTCAACACTGCCCATAGACTCAACACTGCCCATAGACTCAACACTGCCCGTAGACTCAACACTGCCCATAGACTCAACACTGCCCATAGACTCAACACTGCCCATAGACTCAACACTGCCCATAGACTCAACACTGCCCATAGACTCAACACTGCCCATAGACTCAACACTGCCCATAGACTCAACACTACCCATAGACTCAACACTGCCCATAGACTCAACACTGCCCATAGACTCAACACTGCCCATAGACTCAACACTGCCCATAGACTCAACACTGCACCATAGACTCAACACTGCCCATAGACTCAACACTGCCCATAGACTCAACACTGCCCATAGACTCAACACTGCCCATAGACTCAACACTGCCCATAGACTCAACACTGCCCATAGACTCAACACTGCCCATAGACTCAACACTGCCCATAGACTCAACACTGCCCATAGACTCAACACTGCCCGTAGACTCAACACTGCCCGTAGACTGAACACTGCCCGTAGACTGACCACTGCCGGTAGACTCAACACTGCCCATAGACTGAACACTGCCCGTAGACTGAACACTGCCCGTAGACTCAACACTGCCCATAGACTCAACACTGCCCATAGACTCAACACTGCACCATAGACTCAACACTGCACCATAGACTCAACACTACCCATAGACTCAACACTACCCATAGACTCAACACTGCCCATAGACTCAACACTACCCATAGACTCAACACTGCCCATAGACTCAACACTGCCCGTAGACTCAACACTGCCCATAGACTCAACACTGCCCATAGAATCAACACTGCCCATAGACTCAACACTGCCCATAGACTCAACACTGCCCGTAGACTCACCACTACCCATAGACTCAACACTGCCCATAGACTCAACACTACCCATAGACTCAACACTGCCCATAGACTCAACACTGCCCATAGACTCAACACTGCCCATAGACTCAACACTGCCCATAGACTCAACACTGCACCATAGACTCAACACTGCCCATAGACTCAACACTGCGCATAGACTCAACACTGCCCATAGACTCAACACTGCCCATAGACTCAACACTGCCCATAGACTCAACACTGCCCGTAGACTCAACACTGCCCATAGACTCAACACTGCCCATAGACTCAACACTGCCCATAGACTCAACACTGCCCATAGACTCAACACTGCCCATAGACTCAACACTGCCCATAGACTCAACACTGCCCATAGACTCAACACTACCCATAGACTCAACACTGCCCATAGACTCAACACTGCCCATAGACTCAACACTGCCCATAGACTCAACACTGCCCATAGACTCAACACTGCCCATAGACTCAACACTGCACCATAGACTCAACACTGCCCATAGACTCAACACTGCCCATAGACTCAACACTGCCCATAGACTCAACACTGCCCATAGACTCAACACTGCCCATAGACTCAACACTGCCCATAGACTCAACACTGCCCATAGACTCAACACTGCCCATAGACTCAACACTGCCCATAGACTCAACACTGCCCATAGACTCAACACTGCCCATAGACTCAACATTGCCCATAGACTCAACACTACCCATAGACTCAACACTGCCCATAGACTCAACACTGCCCATAGACTCAACACTGCCCATAGACTCAACACTGCCCATAGACGCAACATCGCACCTCCGATTAGCACGGTTGGATACGAATGGTTCAAAAGAAGTTGAACATCGAACACGCACGAGCTTCACTGAGGACTGCGCTGCCACCTAAACGAGCGATCGGATGGCGTGCGGCCACTTTCACCGTCTCTAAGTGGAGGGGGCGGGCGGCGCTTGTCCAAGCCTCACCCGAAGTTGTCTCGCGACGCGCCCCACCTACAATCCCGCAACCCCTGGGCGAGGAAGAACCTGCGGCTTCACGGCCCAAAGCTTCATTTCACACGGCCCACGTCAACGCCTCTGGAGACGAATGCGTGTCGGTGGCTATGAGATGTTAACTACCTCGCCCGATGTACAGGAGGTTGTCGATTCGATGCCGACCCTGACGACGCATGCTGTATATTTGGAGTTTGCAGTGTCTCTCTCATCATCATTATCATCACGGTGGCTATGAGGTGTTAACTACCTCGCCTGGTCTACAGGAGGTCTGTGTCTCTCTCATCATCATCATCATCATCACGGTGGCTATGAGATGTTAACTACCTCGCCTGGTCTACAGGAGGTCGTGGGTTCGATCCCGACCCTGACAATGCCTGCTGCTGTAGATTTGGAGTTTGCGGTGTCGCTCCATCATAATCATCACGGTGGCTTGGAGATGTTAACGCCCTCCCTTGGTCTACAGGAGCTCGTGGGTTTGATCCCGAGCCCTGACTCCTGCCGTATATTTGGAGTTTACGTCTCTCTCTCTCTCTCTCCCCGTGGTGGCGTGGATTTTTCTCCTCCACATTTAAAATCGACATCATCACGAGTATTTGGCTGCTGTTATACATTTCCACGTGATGATGATGATGATAATGATAAGCCACTTCGTTGAGCTTTAGTTTGTGACAGCCAGGTCAGGGCTTCTGAAAGAGAGCTATACAGTTCAGTGGACCTTACCTAGTAAAACAATAGTTTATAGTTTAGTGTTTTTTTAACAAAAAAATCTCCGTCACTGCCAGCATCTCGCCCGCACTAATCGTGCGCTAGAGGGGAAGATTTTTTTTTTTTGCCCCAACGATAGCGCCACGTGGCCTAACTTTAAACTCCATCGGCACTTCACATCGTGACTGTGCGAGCGTAGGAGGCTGCGACTGCGCTGTGCGCTGGAGCCCATTGCTACGGTTGCAGTCGTCATCGTCGTCGTCGTCGTCATCATCATCGTCATTGTCGGTGTCGTCATTGTTGTCATTGTCGTCATCATTGTCGTCATCGTCATTGTCGTCATCTTCATCATCAGCATCATCATCATCGCCGTCATTATCGTCATTGTCGGTGTCGTCGTCGTCATTGTTGTCATTGTCGTCGTCATTGTTGTCATCGTCATTGTCGTCATCATCGTCGTCGTCATCATTATCGTCATTGTCGTCGTCATTGTTGTCGTTGTCGTCGTCGTCATTGTCGTCATCGTCATTGTCGTCATCGTCATTGTCGTCATCTTCATCATCAGCATCATCATCATCGCCGTCATTCTCGTTATTGTCGTTGTCGCCGTCGTCATCGACGTGAGAATC